TTAGCAATATCAATTATGAAAATGTTTTAATAACAAGAAAGGCTATTTTATAATTTATTAGAATAAAAAACACACACTGAGCGCTCTCCTAATTTCTGATTATGATGTTAATATTTTATTATTACAAAAGACAAATAATTTAATGTTTCATGTTCCATAATTATTACTTGGTAATATTGCATTTTGAAAATGAGATTGGCATTCCTGATCAAATTTTGCACTGTCAAATATTGGGAATAGTCATCTGTACAAAATAGAAAAATTTTTATGCTTTTGTTTGTATACGAAAAAATTACTTGATGGATGGATTAAATTTTTTGTAAGAACGTAATCAAATACTTTATATAACTTTTATGTAGAAAAAATATTTTAAAAATTAATATAATATAATATATCTGATATGATATATTGTTCAACGCATCTGCCATAAAACACCATGCATAAAACTTTTTTTTTTAAAAACTATACGGTCAATCGTACGGTCAGTTTAAAATTTTAACATGATATTAGTTTTATCGTAATATTCATATAACAATATTCTTTATAATTCTCAAAGAGAATGAAACATTTTAAGTTTTCGATCATTCCTCCTTAAATCAACAAAATAAAATAAAATTACAAACACGCACCGCTTGGTGCACATAGATTTCGATCGTCATGCAACTTCCTCGAATCAGTTGAGACAAACGAGAAACGTCTAGAGAACACATGAGATTGTGTACTTTTCGGATCGCAAGAATTTCCGTCGCATAGGTAAGTGAAAATACCGATCAATCTCGCGATGAAATAATCAGGGACTAACCACCACGAATTAAGACTTGTTTTATCGTAGATTCGATCCTCGCATTAATACATGCGCCTAGAATCGCTTTCGTACACGTGTTCATATTGTACACGAAACGTTGTCGACGACAAATTTTTCTTTTATTATGCTCTTTCGTTCGATATTGAAAATATATAAACGATCCAAGAAATTTGATTCTCGTTTTTGTATTTTCCCATCTATGCGCGACACATATTTGATCGCGCTAACGCGTCAAATACGAAATGTAAAAACGTACAAGCTTATTTTTACAATAATTTCTTCAATTTTCTATGGCACTGCTATTCGCGTCGCATGCAATCCGCACGAAATGTCGAACGAATTGATTTAATTCTATATTTTACAATTGAAGCGAGATTAGATAAACTGTGGACGTTTGATGCAACTCTTTAAAAATTATTTGTTCGAAGAACGAGTACCAGCTTTTGCATGCCATTAAACAAATGCGGCCAATTTGCTTCTATCCATAAGCGATAAACATTAATGGACAGCGAGCGCACATTGATTACGTTTATGACTAATGAATTATGCAATTAATGCCGGCAACGTCAAATTAAATAACCGTATGCACTGCAATGTTTATTATAAAGATTTAATATTTCCGATGCAAAGAGAGAGAGAAAGAGAATGTCGAGGTACAAAGCCCCGATTCCGCGCCTTCTGTTGCGCGTAAAGCAATTTCATTTTACAAAATCTTTGTTAAGTTTTCCATCGACGCGTTTTGATTCGTCTCCTGAATGAACAAAAATTAAATTTCTTTTTCATGCCTCGTTTTCAAGTGAGGAAAACATCGACACGTTTCTCGCTAGTTTTCGCTACAGATAATATTTCGAAAATCCATGATCGCCGGGAGTACGACGAGAATACGAGATGATCTCATTTCTTTCGTGCTATCGAGATATAAAATATTCTCGAAGACACTCGATGCAATTCGTACAAAACTGCGAGACAAATTCGCAGCCGGAGAACAGAGGCGTATGGGCGGCACGCGCTGGGAACGATCCAGCTATCGAAAAGATTTACGAATCCATAGTGAATCAGCCAAGTAATAAGCTTACGTGCGACGTGAATTATTGAAAGGGATGTACAGGCAATGAATGTGTGTGTTTCGCGATGTATCGTTAATCGATACGCGCAGGACACGTCGCAGTAGAAAATTCAGCGGTGTGACTTGCGAAAGAACAATGGGGGAACAATATAAATATTAATACGCGGCAATTAAAGGCTGAATATTTCATCTCTTGGAACTGAAAGATACATGTGGCAGATAATGCTCGTTTCTCGAGCGGGATTTTTCTCGATTTTTCATGGGAAGGAGAAGAGAAGAAAAAATTTCTAAATTGTTGACAAATTGAAACGCATAATTTGCGCCGATTCTCTATTCGGTCGAGTAGACAAAACCGGGCGTAGCGTCGTCTGCGACTCTTGTTGACATTTGAATATTTGTTTGGTTATCGACCAACGTGTTGTATGCTAACAAACACAGCTAATCTTTTGAATGCGAAACGCTCGATTAACGTTACAATGTCTAAAGTGTCACGGTGTCTAACCTAACTACTACCTTACGCGGTATCGCGGAGAGAAAAATCATTTAGCAATATTTCTGATAAGAAAAACTTGGTTTTCTCAGTTTCCTCTATTTCTACGTTAAATGTCAAATCACGTATTGTAACAATCAGGAGACGCTATCGCAATCAGCGAATTAAGGTTAGAGTGACGCTCGCGATACTTTTCACTGTGTCGCGACCTTGACACTCAAAGAATTACAGAACACGATGATCGATCTCGACGCGGAAGAGAGTTCGTCGTCCTTATCGCGTATCTCGGGGATCGTCGCAATCGGCGTGACACGCGGAGAAAAACGCAAGAGAGGGATTAAAACACTGATATATTTACATGATCGACGTGTGCTGCGGTCTGGTCGGCTCGCCGGCATTGTGGTGATGGTGGTTGTTGCTGTTGCGGTTATTGCCGCCGCCGCTTAATCCTTGCACCTGTGCACTAGTCGCGATCGTAGTCCTCGCCGGCTGCCGGCTCGCGCTATCCTTCAGTATCTTCGTCGCACTTAACGGCATGGCTGTCACGCACATCGTCCCGCGTGCTGATATCACTTCGTCGATAGCACACACACCGCGACGAGCTGGGAGGCCCGACACCCCAACGCGCGAGGGAGAGTACGCGATCTCTCAGCTTGGCCAAGACATCCGGACTGACGGTGCCGACGACGGCGATGGCGAGGACGACACGATCTTAACGCGACGTCCTACGCGACGCGACGGTGCACGAGACGGCGTTCGCCCGCTCGAACTCGCAAATCCACTCGTGCCGATGGCGAGCATCAACGCGGACGTGAATGCGCTCGGTGCCAGGAAGGAGAGATGCCCCGGTGGAAGAAAACGTGTGCGCACAAGCCGAGCGCGACGACGAGCCTCTCTCGTCCGTACAATAATCCGCGCGCGCGTGTAAATAATGTATATACCTCTCCCGCACACCGTGTATATACCCCGTACCAACGCTCGCAGATCCCACCTCGTGGCGCGCCGCGGGCCTACTGAGTGACTGATTGACTGAGTGACTGCCGCGAGCCTCGAGCCACGAGCCGCCCTGCGTGGGTGCACACGCGGTCTTCGCCGAGCGACGGGGCTGCCGATGCGTCGATTGGTCCGATCCAGGGGCAAGCGCGTTTGGTGGGGGAAGCGCGGGCCAATAGCGCGCCGCGCCCGCCGGAGCGACCCTTCGCGAGTCACAGTCGGCACTTGGTCGCGAGCCGTCGCGCCGTGCGTCTCGCGTGCTCGTCTCTCTGCCGTGCGTCGCTCGAAATTTCTCCCGAAGGTTTCACCTCCCTCCCTCCCGCCCCTCGAACAGCGATTTCACGTATCGCGTGCGCAGATGTTCTAGTGTCGTGGAAAACGGATACGAGAGATAGAGATCCCGAGTGTCCTTAGCGCTTAAGAAACGTCCCTTCCCCGAGGTTCCTCTTTCTCTCTATCCGTCTCTCTTTCTCGCTTGATATTCGCGCGTGTGACACGGATCGATAATCGAGAAGCTCGAAGCAGGAGTCGAGTTTATATACACCGAACGAGCGAGTGTGATCTTCTGGGAATATATCGCGAGTAATTTCGAGACACCGAATTATATTTCGTATCGCGATACGTCCCGTAATTCTCCGTGTGCTTGGAAACGTCAATAGTGCCAGTGTCGCTCTATAGAGATGTGATCGAATTGACTCCTCTCGATTACGCGATTTTGTTCAGCGTAGTGCAAGTGACTTGAATCCGTACAGGAAATTCGCACTTTAAATGATCTATAACAAAATTTCTATACTCTTCGTGTTTTTATTTTCGTCGATACCGTCATATATCTAACATTGCCTTTCTTTCTCTTTCTTGTACAGTATCGGAATATTTTTCCTAAAAATACACACTCATTCATTTACACTTCATTCGCGCACGCTCGTCAATAGTGCTTGTGAATTGCGATCGTTAAAAATTTTTGTAGGATTCAAGGATTCATCAAAACGTTATTTTCTATGAATTTTTATGAATGTCATATCGATATTTATTGCGAATAAATATAACAAAAAAAATATTGTCCTTCCTTCTGCACGTGAAAATGATCGATGTCGCATTGATTGACAGATACACGTGTCATCCGCGTTAAAAGTGCTCTTCACGCAATTTTACCTGTTTCCGATTCAAATGTTACTTGCACGACTACGGTTGGTACGTTTTGTCATCGTTACGATCGCTATTTTACGAGCCTCATCCCGTAAAACTTTTTATTGTTCCATCAATCGTTGGATATACGTTCTTGCGTGGTTTAAATGGATACCTATATCGTTAAAAAGTCAGACAGATATTTCTCATTAAGTTGAAAAATTTACCATATTGTCAAGGCATGGAGATTTAACGAGAAAATAGAAGTGAAGAAATAGAGAATTTTATTTGCAGATGTAACGAATTTTTTATATTTAAATTCACATTTTATGAACTGACATGATCGATTTAGATATAAGAAATTATATAAGAATATAAAAAATTGTTGTTTGATGCGATCGATGTGTAAAAATGGAAAGATAAAATTCTACTTGAAATTTCGATCATTATTATTCTCAGAAAAATTTCATTAAAAATTTCGTGTTTTATGACGGAATGCGTATACAATAGTCGACGAATAATCGTGAACAATTGACGTTTGGAATAGCACACAACTTGAATCTTCCGATACATTTTTGATGTTCCAGCCTCGAGATTTTCACGATTCGAAAAAAAGGCAACAATATTCGCGTAAGGCCAGCTGCCTCATGGTCGTTTTGATTTATAGCTTGAGGTGCATTTTCATGCATGCAATTTATATTCGTGATTCCCATATGCGAAAATATCTCTGGAAATATTAATTCCGCGATTTCTATGCGCCTCTACGACGCACGATCGGCCGCGTCGCTTTGTGAACGCCGATTGAAATGTAAATGAGAAAAGGATAGCGATAACAGAGCCGTGTTCACATATCACAATCTTTTTTCCTACGATTATTTGTACGTCTTCTTCCTACTGAGGAATGATGGCAGTATGATTAAGGCTTATATCAAAAAACGATAGAAACATGAAAACATTAAAAATTCTATAAAATACTCATCTATGTATATAAATAAACAGATTTTTTTGCAAAAAATATACTTAAGTTTTCACATTTCTCTAGAAAACTATTTGAAAATATCTTATGTCTGCAATTCCTCTTTAGTCGAGTCTTTCTGTAAGAAAAGAATTAAATTAAACAAAAGTTAAATTTTGATTTTTTAATCCTTTATTGCTTTTAATAGTAATGAAGATGAAACGCATTTTTATTGAATTATTTTTATTATTACAATAAGATGTAGAAATATGGAAACAGTATTTCATCAAAACTCCGAGAGAATTACATAATAGTACCGACATCAAAGAATTATATGAATACAATAAGCGAACGAATTATGTGGCTGCCCGCAATTTTCCGGAACTCGAGTACAATAAAGATCTCTGCTTAGCTCGAAACGTCGATGTCCATCCTATAGAGCCACTTCGCGATCGCTCATCCGAGCCAAGTACAAGCAGAAAGAATAATTCGAGAACCATCGCACTCAACAGCGGCACGAAGCGAAATAAATTACAGGACAAGCCCGAGCTCTGTAATCAATGTTTCGAAATGTCAAATGCAAGTTCTTGCAGGTTTCGTCAAAATCCAACAACGCATCTGGACGGCAACATCACGTCGGTAGCCCTATGTGTACCTGCCAGGACACGGCCTCTCCTCACCTTTCTCTCTCTCTTTTCTTTCTTCCTCTCTGTCTTTTTCCCTCTTGTACGGCCCATTTTTCAGGAACACGCACGCACGCCAAAGCTGACCAGGTGCGGATTTCCAGACCTCCTCTGGATGCCTTGCGACCTCTGCTGTTCCCCCCCTCCCCCTTTCCTCTAAATACGTCTTTCACGACTCAGTAGATCGTCCTTTACCGCACACGACCCCTCTTTATATCGCCTATTAACTTCGGCGCTTCACAATGTGGGTCTGCCCCGCGTCTCGCCAGATCTTATCGCATACGGATAGCCGGCCTATCGCCAGCAGCGAAATTGGATTTGACGGGATCGCTCGACGGACGAGTGATCACATGTAAAAGCTACACGGTGATTAAACAGGGGATTGAGAAACGATACACAGAATGTGCCGGAACCATTGATTACGATCTTAAATGGCAATTTCAAAATTAATAAAGTATATAAATTTAATTTAACTATTGTTTCGCGCAGCGAATGAAGAAATGCTTAGCTAAATACACTTAACTTCATAAGAATAGCTAAGAAAAACTAAGCCTTTCAGAATATAGCATCCTGCCAATAATATTAATAGATAATCCTTAAATTTAATCTAAGAGTCTGTACATCGAGATTAAAGACTTAATTTAAATCTTGTACTAATTAAGAACACTAGTTCTTTCCATATTTTTCATCTTATTCATCTTATTTGTGAGCTGAGCTTGCTAATGTGCCGCTCTAGATCCTTAAATCCTTTGTGCACCGGCATCACTTCATTACACGTCGCTGGATCAACTAGAACGGCGAATATCGAAAAAATAGCCACGTTGCTGTCGCAGAGGCCACGGCAGTACGTCGTTAGCCCAGCTTCCAATTTGCCGGCTTCTCTTTTCTGTTCCGGGCGATTTTCGACGCGGGACGCGGGCCCTTTGATGGCCAACAATGAACGTCGGGCTTTTACAATGCGGTCGAGCAGCGACAAAGTCGACTTCGTCAACGGCGACAACGACTACGTGCGTCCGTCGTCGTCCTTGCCGAGCGTCTTTGAGTAGCGCGGTAGGTAACTAAGTAAGCAAAAAAAAATTAGATACGGGTGGCACCGACTGAATGGCGTTTCGGCATATTTCAAAAACGATAAATATTTTTCCCAAAAGGTGTTATTCAGTCACTAAAAATGAACCCTGAATATACCGGAGACGAGAAAGCGATTAAATGCATGAAATTGTTGCGGAAATCGGTTTATCGAATTTCTTCATGGATAGAATCCAAGATAATTGAGTCACTAGACAAATAGTCGATACAAAAGACTAAATATAATTTTAATTCTTTTATATAAATGCACATATATATAAATGTTTAACAATATATATACATTTACTCGCAAAAATACATTGAAACATTTTTAAATTTGAATTCTTAAATTTTAGTAGATAAACAAAAATACTAACTAATTATATTATGTATTAATACTTCTTTTCTGGTTCTCCAGAAAGAGCCAAAGTGATTCAATTTTCCAATTTTCCATTATTAAATTATTCCATGATTATATTTAAACATAGATTTAAATATATAGATACGATTACAGATACAGATACGATTAACTTGTAATTCTCATTCTTAGAATATTTTTACTAGAGAGATCAAATTAATTTCTATTTAAATTCTCTGATTTCGATATTTCATCATCAAGAAAATTCTATAAGTAATTTTCTGAATTTCAATATATATCATTAAAAATATACATGTTTTTAATAAATAGCAAATTGTGAATAATTCTCGCAAATTGTGAGTAATCTGCGGATCATGTTTTTAACTATTCGGCAGACTTTTGACGAGGCTTTTGTATAAACCGCAATCGAGTTTTGCGTTATCATCCAAGTTACGGTTCCGTGGCTTCGACAAGAATGTTCGCGCTCTTACTAAGACAGCTATGGAAAGCGCGTTAAAAGCGCGAAATAATTGGGTTCCGCTGATGGTTCGTTATAACGGTTACGTATATATGCACGGTATATACGACGGGTGGGAAAACGAAGTGGTTTTCCGCGAGAGCAGAAGCTCATTGTCGCGTCGATGAGAAGCGCGAACGAGCGCATAACGGCTGGATGACGCTTTCGCGAAAGCGAAAAATGGAAGCGCGCGGCGACCAAGCGAGGGCCGACAAAGGGCCGAGAACGAGAGGGAGACGCGCGCGCGGCGAATTTCCGCATATGTGTAACCGAGGTCTTTTTGTGTAAC